GCTCGATGTTACAGTCACTGCCCTTGCCCTCCAGAATAAAAGAGAACATCCCAATCAAATGAAGGGATTTGTGGAAACTGTGGTTCCTAATTATTGTGATCCAACATTTGCCTCGCATTTCCGGATGAAAAGACAAACATTTCAGGTGAAGGTTAATCCACTTCTTACCTCCAAGACTGTGTTATGATCTATATGACCTTATTAATTTTATTGTGAGTATTAGGCTTATCATTATTGCTGATTGCTGTTATTGTGCTATGATATTGTAATATTTACCATTATATAATCAGAGGGGCATAGAAAAGTTTATGAAAGTGTCACTCCATAATACAATAGCAAAATATATAAATATGTATAGTATTTTTATGTTACATTAATCAGTATTTAGCACACCTTACTAAGGAAAGGATATGGACCAGAAGACATTGCAATTACTAAATGATATTTAGACAGACTTAAAGAAGTTCCAGATCTATACTTGTGCCCTTATTATTTCAGTTATTTTGCCTTTAATGTTCATAAGCATGTGTAAATAATATACTTGCTCTTGTGAATTTATTTGGATGTTAATTACATTGTGCGAGTCTCTTTAATACCGCGTGGTTTATATACATGTTGCTGCTGATTGGGCTGACATGTGTGACACACCCACCAAACAAGAGAAAACGCATCTCAAACCCCGTTGCACACCGTTTCCAGGAAACATGTCATTCAAACCGGAAACCGTAGCAAAACGGTGCACACCGGTTTGAGCTTGAACGTGCCCCAGTGGTTCTCAATCATCGACCTGCACTTCACATTGTGGATGTCTCCCTTATCTACTACACCTGATTCAACTCATTAGCAGAGGCTCCACGAACTGTTCTGGGTGAATCAGATAAGAGAGACAAATTGATCCAGTGCTTTGATACTCAAAGATCAGCAGTGCTGAGTACTGTAACACAGTGTTCTCTTCTAAAGTTCTCAAAACTGAACTGAATAAAGAATCCTAAATTCACAGTCACTCATAATTTATGAAAAAAGAATGAGAAAATCTTACTGCTGCAGGGCTCTCCAAATTGCACAGAGAGCACGTGTGTCGCGTTCTCTGCGCGCTCTCTAGTGGGGAACCTTTCCCTCATACCAGTTTTAACTTATACATGTCAGTCATCAGTCCGCTGTTAATTTAATGTCACGATTAATATATTCTTAAACAGGACGGGAAACTGTTTTTCCCTCTAAAATTCACACAGTATTTATTTGTATATATTATATATTAGCTATATATTAGCACTGTTTTGCTGGAGCGTGATTGGTCCAGATTCGCGAGCTTTTGTTCGCGCGCTGCACCTCTTGCGCTCGTGCTGTCATGCACACCTGCGGAACACTCGCGCGCACTGCTAATATTTCAGTGTGTGTGTTTCACACTCAGGAGAAAAGAACAACTCGACTAGTTCGTCTGGATATAAAGATAAACTAACTCTCAGAAAAGCTTCCCCTGGATGTGATTTCAGACATTAAAAGGTGTACCAAACTGAAAGGCATCATGAAGACGGATAAAGACTGTAAAGACGTGAGGGGAGTGACTGTCAACCGCTTTGCTGCTGAAGGTAAGGATGTTTGTATCGAAACGGACAAGGTGAGGAACTTTTAAAAACGAAATATTTATGGCAACCATATATGTGCAACAGTTGTACTGTAAGGTCATAATAAATTAATATCGAATGAACACATATATATGTTTTGTATTCATACTTATATTGCTGTAAAATCTCAATAATTCTAACTATGGTATTGTGTTATGGTTACCATGGTCATTTTTTAAAGGGATACAGCATTTTCCAAAATATCACTGCCACAGTCCCATTATCTAGTTCTGTTATTTGAGACAAGCACAAGGCCAAAGTTAGACTTCAAAAGAGATAACTACTGCCCAACCTAATAGGGTTTGTTTATAATTATATATTAATTATATTATAATGTTAAATAGAATACAAATATGTTAATGTACGTCTTAATATGCTGTATTTGGACAGGCACTGCAGAAGGGCTTTCCTTAAAAAGATATTTCTGCAAAACTCAGAAATCTGATCTTATCATGTTTTTTTTTTTTTGATGAACAGTTTAGTCATAAATAATTCTGGATGTCTCATTTAAATGAAAAATGTGTATGAACAATGATTTTGTATCAGCATAATTACCTTCGTGATTAAGCTGTATTTTCTGTTCCCTATCAAGACTGACACAATAAAGAAAGGATGAGTGCCCCAATAGCTTGCTATACAATAGAGCTGCACATAAGCTGCCTGGACTCATACTCCTAGGTTAATGAGGGAAGGAAGGGCTGGATAAAGATTCATCTTTTTATTTTGCTGTCTTTCAGCTGTTAGTCTCACAAATTCAAAAGCTATCAGGCTGTCTGATCAAAGAGGATACCATGTTTATTAACCTATACAAAAGATTTAGAAAGCCTCTTTTTAAAGCGTCATTGCACACCCATAAGAATCAGCATCCACCACAGCAGTGGTGCCATTTCAAACTGAATTATAAAGTGCCCTTAGTAGACGTGTAGACATAACATGCTTTCTCCCACATATTCTCATGTCCTTGGAGCTGATGAAGTACTGCAAGTGTGAGGTAACTCACAATACTCCCAACAATTTTTGTTGCACTTCATTATTGTATCATTCTTAGGTTGTGAATTCAATAGATCTTGTGACAGACTGTATTAAAGATTGCTCCATTTGAACATCTTTCAGATTTGTTCTAGCATGTCAAGATATTAAGATATAAATTCATTGTTTTCTTCATCCCAATCTCAGTGTGAATGCACGTGCATGCCCTCTGACAAGCATGTGCACATGCGCTCACACAGACACACATAGTCTCACTGATACATTTCTTACATTAGGTGAGGGTCCAGGGGAAGGAAGCTCCACCCTTTGTTGTTCACTCAGTTTGACTGTTGGCTCTTCCTGGAGATACAGTACAACTCTGTGTTCTTGAGTGAGTGTGTGTGTCTTTGAAGCAAACCCAAAAGACCTGGTGTTTGCATGGCTCGACCTTAATTCTTGTACTAAAGAAAGAATTTGAAACTTTGAATAAATGTATTCAATCGGACAACTGAATTCGGCTTATGACAATAACCATTTTGACATCATTTTGTAGGGCATAATAATATTTTAATAGGCTGGGTGTAAATGAGCCTTAATGATCTTATTGTGCGTAATTCATCTATATGTTTAATTGTTTTCATTGACTTAGTAATTCTTCATTAAAATGACATAACTGGATCTTCCAGTGAAACAACAAACTTCTCTCTGTTGATGTATACCTGACTTCTCCAATCATTTAGTTCTCTTAAATTCTGCCCCTTTCTCACAATCGACCTCGAGCTCAAATTCAGATCAGCCTCCATCCAATCAACGAATGAAGTATAGATGTATGTCTCGCCTTACACTTTTCTTTTGCGATAATCCATTTCACTTGGATATATGTCACAATATGGAGAAAAAGATTGTCACTATAGAATTGAAACAGCAGGACTCAACATTAAAGTTTATTTTTTTCTTTTCATCAGTAGTTCTGCAGTAGTTCGGTTTTACACACACACACATACATGCAAAAAGAAAGAGAGAAAGAAAAAGACTATCACAAGGTACATTCACCAAAACGTATCTATGTCTGCCTGCATGATAATAAGATAAATATCATAATAAACATATTTTAACAAAAATCTAGAGTCATTTTTTTTATTTTCGGTTGTGTCAGTTGTTGAAACTGTTTCTGTATTGTTGAGCCCTAAACATTTAGCTGTACTGCAAAAACACCCTCTATTTCCACATGCAAGTTAACTGTATAATTTTGGATCACTATATAGTTGATCACATATTTTTGATGTCTTGTCTCATTTTGCTACTTATTGGAATGAACTAAAACAGTTTTTGGAGTACATTATTAGATTTACTTCTTTGAAAACCAATTACTTGTATTTGTGGTGTGAATAGGTAGTTCAAATAGGTAGCTTAAAGTGTTACAGTCAACAGTCAGTACCCATAAATCTCCAATACCCATTGTTTGTCCAGAAAGACAACAAAACATTTCCTGTGAAGCTTATGATCTGACTATCACAGTCAAACACAGATAGGAAGTGAGGTCTAGGGCACACAAGTGAAAGCACAAAGTATTCATTAAATGTGTGTGTGTGTGTGTGTTTATGAGACGGCTCCAAAGAGTCGTGTAAGGTAGGTGTTTAGACCTCTTACAGTCGCACAGGGCACTAGGGGGCAGTGTGTCACCCATAACACTATTTGCTTTGCTGTAGGGATCTCTTTCTGTTGGCCAATGCACATTGCGTCCCTAATCTAGCCCAAATATTTTGTGGTGCAATGTGTGTTTTTCTGGCACCTCTGGACAACTCTGCTGAACTCAAGGACAATAGCAAGGTCAGAGATTGACCTCACTCTGTGTACCCACAGCATCCTGTGCCCACATCCAAATTTAACCCTCTACACCCCACATACACCATGTCTCTTTTAAATCAATTGGACTATGATGATTGTGAGGTATGATATTTCAGTAGTGTTGTTACATTGAATGCATGGACAAGTAGGTGGCTGAATCAAACACTTTGCATGTCATACTGTGAGAGGTACTCGGTCTGACCATAACAGAATAGTTTAAAGAGCAGCGCATCACAATACAGTCTAGGGTTTACACAAGAGCTGTGTGAACATTACAGCCTCCCCCCCTCCCACACACACACTTATATGTACACACACGCCTCTACAAACTCTTTTACATGCTGCCAGCAGGTGTGTTTTGTGGAAAGAGCCTTTGATGGCAACAAAATGGAGGGAGGAGAGAGGGGTTCTACACTTTTTATAATTATTGTGAGGGCTGAAATAAAAAACAGCCCCCCCCCCCATACCCCCTACCTCCTAGGCAGAGAAATAAAACAAACAGCCTTGGAATGATAAGTCATTACCGTGCTTGCTAGAAATTCCTCAAACATTCTGTTCTTCTTCTTCGTCTTCTTCTTCACCATTGTCTTCTGCTTCTTCTGTTCTACCATCACTGCTAGTATTTCTGCTTCAACATCTTTGTCATCATCTTTGTCTTCTACTTCTTTTGTTCGACTTATGCTTTGTCGTCATCTTGTTTATTGTCATCTTTTGTTGCTTGTTTTTTTTCTAAATCATCATCTTCTTTTTCTTTGTCTACTGTCTTCTTTCTGCTATTTATTCAGCTTTTGTTCAAATTTGTAGATAATTTTAGCATTTAAGGGATAGTTCACTCAAAAATTTCAAATTCTGTCATCATTTACTTGCCATCATGTTGTTCCAAACCTGTATGAACGTCTTTTTTTCTATTTTGAAGAAAAGTTTTGGTTACCATTTTACCATTTGGTTACCATTTAAAACACATTTCTCAAAATATCTTTTATGTTCCACAGAAGAAAGAAAATCATACATGTTTGGTTAGTAAACGATCACAAAATGGTCACTTTTGGGTGAACTATTCCCTTAAGTGTGTTAAATATATTATATTTTGGGTGTAATCTTTATCATTTCAATTTAAAGTTTTCAATTTGTTTTAAGTCTTCCATTGGCTTAAATTGATAGAATATTTGCCATTCAAAATGGAATTGACTAAAATAACGCCATTGTGCTATTGGCATAATGTATTTTTTTTATACATCTATTTTAATTGGTCTTTACTCTCTTGCATTTATTTAACCATATAGCCGCCTTCACACTAAGATCACAGTGTCACACTGTGTTGATTCTCATACACAGCTGACTAAAAAAACAAGTCGCTTGAAATGTGTTTCAGCTAATACACCCAATTTCAGCTGCCATCTTTGCAGTAAATCTCTTTGAAACGTTGTTCCAACATGTCTTCACCAAAAATAACAGCATCAAATAATCCAGAAGCACCACATCAAAAATAATAGCGTCAAAAATCCAAAAGCACCAAACCTCACAATAGGGTGTGTATTTCTATCATGCCATGATTTAGCTAGATGCAAGAATGACATTATTCCTTATTGTGAAAGAAACAAAGGACATTGCAGTGACATCAGTATGTAAACTTACAGGCACACCACGTCACACATTGCAAAATATTTATTAGAATACACATTTTGCTGACTACTCTGACACAGACTCATTTCCCTCTCACACGAAAGTAATGCTAAATGCCAGGCAGTTTGTCGTGAAGATTTATGCCCGCAAGCATCAAGTACGCAAAGTGAAACGGAGAAACGCAGGAAACATAGGCTTTAGGACCCAGAGCCACAGCTCAACGGAGGCTGGGCAAGGCTGACTCACTAAATATGTCTGAGGAATGAGAGAGAAAGAGAGCAGGAGAGGTAGAAGTGAAGAGAGGAGGGTAGAGAGAGGAGACCGGAGCAGAGGTGATCTTGCCCCCATTAGTGTCAGGATGATTATGGGTTGAGAAGGGAATGATGGAAGCAAACAAAGTTCTTCATTTTGTGCCATCCGGTAAGATCTACATGCACTCTCACACATACACACACACATCCAGACATATGCACATGCTCCTGCGCTGTCACGACTAAGCATCCGAGGGTTCCCTGAAATTTGAGACTGTGTGTGTCAAACATGTACAGTGGAGAGGGTGCGTGTGTGTTTGTGTGTTGTTGTAAGTTTTCTCTCTGTTGAATCCTGCAGGTCTGTGGATTGTTTTTCCCACATGCTACTGGTGTTTTTTGGGGTGCGTTATGCTGGAATGCAGACAGGCTTTTTCGGGGCTGGTTTTCTGGAATGCATTGTAAATGCTTTTACGCTGTTAATCTTAGTCGAGTAAAACAGGAAAAAAGAAAAATGACATCACACAGTTTGAGATACCTGCACACACATTGCAAAAGCATGCACACACAAATACAAATGAGGGAGAGAGAGACGTGAGAAAAGAGACTGATGCAAAACACAGATCAAAATCAAGTACCTGTAGGGTAGCACTAGGACCAAAACCTATATGCCTGATCAGGCAGTACTCGAGTGTGCGTGCGTGAGAACGAGCGGGTATGTGTAGTTGGTAGTCTGGTACACAATGTTGCTGTTCAATTCGTCTCATCAGTCTAATACTGCATGCAACACACATGCTCTGTCGTACAGCACAAGTGCACCTACATCACTCTCTTTCTGTCCTTTCCCTTCACTCAAAACCTCAGTGTAAACACAGTAGGTAATAGAAGTGGGAAAACACTAAATCTCGTGCTCGTCTTCCCGCCGATACACACACGCACATAATGAGACTGTGATTTGCATCCTTCACCTGAGGGTTGAACTTCAAATCAGTTGATGTCTCAGTTTTCTATCCTCACATGATTACGTGTGTGTTTCTCCATGTGTGTGTGACGCACAGCATCAAGTTCGCATTTGATCAGGCTGTTGTAATTGACACTTAGTTTGTGCCTGTCTCGGCTTGTAGGTAATCTTTGTGGCACTCTGTCAATACCATAATTTCAACAGAATCTCAATGTCATTGGAGCAGGCCATCTGCGTGCTGTGGCCGCCTGAGAACTTTCTGCAATTCACAATATCACATAGGTGAGCAATCGCTGCAACAGGATTGAATTTGTTTGAACAGATGAGCGGATGAATGATGGATGAAAGAATAAAATTAATGATGGGACTAATGTAATAAGCAGACTGTCTTTCTCTCTAACGAGTATTGAGATTGCTCACCCGCTTCTCATTACACACACATGAAAGGTGGACATTTTGTCCCCAGATTCCTTTATTTATGATTTCCCATCATGTTTGGATATTGAACATCCTATTTGCACTGCAGATGGTGGGATATGAATAGATGTAATTTTATGGAGGGCTGATTGACTTTGCGTGGCTGTGCGTCCCTTTATTTATCTGTGTATATGCGTGTACAGTCATCCGCCGGGTCCCAGAGAGGTTGGTAATGTGGTTAGGCATCTCTGACTTTTCTATTCCCCATTTGTCTTCCACCCACTGTACAGTACAGTCTTCAAAGGAAATTAGAATCACACATTCCTCTGTTTATCTCCTTTGTTTATGGTACGCTGTAAAATGGCCATATGGGCATCCTCTCTCATACAAAGAGCGGTGTCTGTGGGCGCAAAGGAAACAGCCTTCACAGACGTTCACATGATGGAGAGCTTGGCCCTCTTCTGATTTACAGACACGGCCGTAATGTGGATATTTTTAGAGGCCCAAATATGTGTGCGATTTGCCAAGTGCTGTGTGTTGTTTGCTTGAGCCTAATTAATTGGGCATCTCTAAAAGTCTGATCCCAGATAGACATGCGTCTGCTTTTCCGTAATAGATTAAATATAGCTCACGGGAAAAGTTACAAACGCCCGGTCCTCACTTTCTGTTAGAAAATGTCAGGAACCCCCTCTCACATCCACACGCACACACAAACACCCACGCTCAGGCAAACAAACGCGTCCCCCGCCCACCCCTGGAGTAAACCTTAGATTGCTTCAAGATGTCGGAGGGTGCCAATGCTGATGAATTCAGACCTTTGATTGCGATGCTGCCCATGCGTCAGGGGAGAAACCTCGCACAAATGCCACTTTTCTGATACGCATACGGTAGACAAACACACAGATGCGCACACCACCATTCTGATGCACACAGTCAGACATTGTGCCAGGCTGTATTACAAACCATCTTTGGCATAAACTAGATACCATCGTGCCTTCAAATGTCAAACAGTCATGTGAACAGAATTCACATTCCTTGTATGATACAGCTGTATATTTTTTCTGTTCTCTCTCACTTGTGTTTTGTCTCTGGTTTGGTCTTGTCTTGTGGCAGCGGTACTGTAGATTGTAAGAGGGAATGGTGGCCTGGCTTTAATAGAGGAAGAAGGGAATGTGCAAGCAATTAGCAGGAATCCCCCAGCAAAGCGCTCACAAAACCAGAGCAGCCGAGATATGAAGGAAAGGAAAATCTGTATTCCCTTGATGTACAGGACAATAGTGTCCATGCAAACACATTTAAGCTGTGCATTCCCTTGGTGCCGTGTGATTAAAGATGGCTGTCATGTTGAAGCATGTTAGCGCTGCGGTCACTGGATCTTGACGTTCACCTTTCTCTCTCTATCTCCCTCTCCATTTCTCTTTCCAATGCCCAAGAGGATGTTTTACAGGAATAAATGGGTTAACGAGAGTGAGATCTGATGCCATCATCATAATATTACCTAGGTTTTCCTGTTAATGTTTGATGCAGTTTGTTTTTCCACACATGCCGATCTGCGTATTTTCTCCTACGGCTTATAGAGAGTGAGATGAAGAGAGGAAGTGAGGGAGCCGCTGGTTCACGTACGTCTATATAACACCATGTGATGTGTAGAGTATGCATAGATCACTATCAGGGTTACCTGGAGATTGCTCCCATCACACTGAGAGAATGAAGTGAGACGGACACATCAGCCTAGCCGCATGCAGCAGAAACATCTCTGCCGTATGAAATTCATCTGAAAGCAAATGGCTGCAGCTTCAGGATTTACCTGCAAATTGCCATGAATGGTTATTTCAGTCGAACATGTGAAGAACATTATAACTGCGTTACACCTTATTCTGTGTTAGGTTTAATGAAACTATTATCAGAACGGTATCTTCTCTAATACAATCAGTAGATCCTCAGATAGCATGCCAACAGACTGCCCACAGTCTGTTCACTGATGCATATTGCACTCAAAAAACCAAGACCCGGCTGAAATTGTCAGTTCTGATCTGATTGGCTGGTGCTATGCAAAGTTGTCTTCTTTGAACGTCTGAATAAAGATATTCAGTCTTTTCACAATGAAATTGATATCAATAAGCAAAACTCTATGTCTGACTTTTTTCTGAATTATGTTTGTGAAATACTCTGCATTTGGATGAAAATAATAAATTAAAAACTTCTACACACATTTTTGATCATTGCTTCTCACAGATCAACACTGCTGTGCCCTTTTTGAATTAATTCAGTTTTTTTCATGCTGTAAAATAAATGTACTCCTAAAAACAAAACATAATTAGTCGATTTCTTGTCACTCAAACCTTTTTCTGTGCAAGTATGC